AACTTGTCCTGGTTCTCGATTGAAGAGAATATCGCTGTGCAACTTCTCGAGTGGTGTGTACGCGGGTGCGCTCGGGTTGTGATGAGGAGTGAACGGTCGATGTGGTAAGTCGGCTTCGGGGCAGGTAAGACAAGTCCCTCGTGCCCGTTGGAGTTCTCTGCCGTCGGGTAGTAATAATGAGTCCTTGTCTAGGACTCCTGCTCTTATCGTGTTATTTAACACTGTGTTGCTTGGATGTCCCATTCGTGCGTGCCATATGTCTTCGGAGGCGCGGTGTCCGGGTGAGCGTCGATACGCGTCTGAGTTGGAGTAAAAGCTGGCAACGAAGTTTGCGCTTCTGTGGACTTCTCGTTGAGCTGGTTTCAACTGCTGTGCGGGTGTTGGTGGTGTTTCGTTGACGAGGACTGGTGTCGTTGGTCCTGATGCTGCTGCCGATGTTGTCTCTGCTGCTGCCGATGATGTTTCTGCTGTTGTCGATGACGTTTCTGTCAGAATTATATTTATTATAACTGCATGAAGTTCTAGCTGTAGTGTAGTTATTAAGTTTGTAGGTGGTGCACCTCTTCACTTGTTTCCTTGCTATATGTACTTTGAAACTATAGTGAAGAACATCATTCTCCCAACTTCTCTTCAACTCACTCGATACTCACCCTAGGAGAAACCCGCTCGATATCCTACTTGGGCCTAGGCTACTAAGCCTAGGCCCTACTTAATCTTCTCTCATTCTCGTACAACTCTTGACATGTTATCAGAGCGACGTTCGTTCTGGCCTCACGTTTCCGCTGCTACGATTTTCCGGTCGCGCGCCTAGGGCGCGTGACGATTTTTACCTTGTCCCGCCCACGGGCGTGTGACTCCTTCTCTGCCCGTCGCGCGCCCCGTGGCATGCGACGGTGCCCTTCATCTGCCCGCCGTGCGCCCCGTGGCACGCGATGGTGCCCTGCTCGTCGTGTGCCCCGTGGCACTCGATCGGGCCCTTTAAACTTAAACTTACCTGTCGTGCGCCCCGTGGCCCGCGACGGGCCTTTCCGCACCTGCCCTCCCTGCAGCCGCCCCTGACCAATCAGCGCCGACACAGTGTAGCCGCTCTGCGGCTTTCTTCCCGCCCACCCCCTCCTCCTTTGTTTCTCTGCAGCCGCGGGGAGGAGGGTATGGGGGTGGCGGGTGTTGGGGCGTTGGGTCGTTCACTTCCCTTCCCCTCCTCCTCCTTTCATTCCCACTGCTGCAGCTGCCGCTGGGGGGGAGGGTGTGAGGGTGTGGGGGAGCAGGGGGAGTGGTACCGGGGTGGCGGGTGTGAGGCAACAAGCAGCCGTCCCTCCACCTCTCCTCTCTTTCCCCCTTCTCTGCTGCTTCTGCAGCAGTGTGGGGGAGGGGAAGGAGGAGGGTGAGGAGATGGAGGGGGTGACCAGCTAGTGTCAGCCCGCCTGCATTACCTGCTGTTGCTTGCTTTTTATTGTTCGTTGGTGTACCTCTGCAGGGTGTGCTCTGCACTTAGCTATTCCTGCATGCAGTTACGGGGGGATGTCAGAATTATATTTATTATAACTGCATGAAGTTCTAGCTGTAGTGTAGTTATTAAGTTTGTAGGTGGTGCACCTCTTCACTTGTTTCCTTGCTATATGTACTTTGAAACTATAGTGAAGAACATCATTCTCCCAACTTCTCTTCAACTCACTCGATACTCACCCTAGGAGAAACCCGCTCGATATCCTACTTGGGCCTAGGCTACTAAGCCTAGGCCCTACTTAATCTTCTCTCATTCTCGTTCAACTCTTGACAGTTTCTGCTGCTGCCGATGTTGTTTCTGCTGCTGCCGAATGTTGAATTGTTGCTAACGCGCGTGTTCTTTCTACTTCAGGGATGGTGTGCGAGTACCAGAAGCCTTCCGGGCTGAAGTCCGGATCAAGATCTGGAGGATGTGTCCAGTCGGCGAAGTTCACGATGGCGTCGCTGTCTGCAGTGCCCAGGTCTGGGACGAAGTCTAGGACGAAGACGTTGTTCTTCAAGATCGCCTTCCCGATGTAGAGGCCGCCTTTCCCGTGGTATAATTTGAACTCCTGGGTGGTACTGTTGGCTTCCAAGTGAATGCCTTTCACCATCAACTGGCTGACGCTTAGTAAGTTGTAGCCGAGTCCCTCCGCGATTAGTACCTTTGACATATGCAGTATAACATTTGTCTCTCGTGACTGAAGTTGTACTACTCCTTGTCGTCGTGTGCGCAGGTTCTGGTTGTTGGCGACTGTGATGACGACCTCTCGTTGAAGTCGATGTTCGCGTTGGACGAAGCGTCCCGAAGAGCACATGTGCTGTCCGCAGCAACTGTCCAAGAACCATGTATCTTTCCCGGACGGTTTGCTTTGAGCAATGGCGGCGTACGTCGGGTTTGGTTGAAGGGATTCGCGGCGAGGCGTGCTGTTGTCGAGTTGCTCTTCTGGAGAGTAGTTTGGTGGTGACTCGGTTGTGCAGGAATCTGTTATCTTTACCATGCAGTTGACGATGTTTCTTGCTTTTTGTGTAGGTTGTCCTGTTGGAGTCGTTGAAGCTTGGACTGAAGGTGTCGGGGTAGCTTGTGTTGAAGTGACTTGGCTGCTCGAAGATCGAAGTTGTCGCTGTGGTGTTGTCGATTGATGACGATACGGGCAGTGCGTACGAGGATGCCGTGAAGTCTTGCAGATGTGGCAAAACGGAGGTACTGGCTTCGGTTGTTGTTGCTGTCGACTGTTGTTGTTGTTGTAGCGTTGCTGGGTGTGAAATGCGAACTCTGGTACTGCCGTTTTCTTCTTATGTCGTTCTTCTTGCAGGTCGATGTCCTGCTGCTCGGCATGGATTTCGGCGCAGAGTGCTGCTTCGGAGATTCTCTCGTGTGCTCGTAGTATGGCGCGAGTGGAGCGCCAGTGAGGGCCGAGACGGCTGATGACAACTGTGACAAAGGCGTCTTCTGAGATCGATCCCCCACATCGAAGAAGCCTGTCGCGCAGTTCGCGGCAGCGACTGATATACTCCATGCCCTTCTCGCCTGGTTTCATTTCTATTGTTGTCAGCTGCGCCATTAACCGACTTTGGTTTACACTGTCTGTTGCTTGATACAGGTTCTTCAAGTGGTTGTACGCGAGCTCCGCGGAGTTACCGTAACCTCGGTAAGTCCTTATGTTCTGCTGTTGGGTCGGGGTGATGTTCCTCAGTAGTATTGTGTACGCCATCATCGATTGATAGGTGTACTGCTGCTTCTCATACTGTGTGCCGTTTGTTGGATATGGCAGGGACCCGTCGAAGAAGCCAAGGATCTGCGCTCCTTCCATCATCAGCTCGAATTCGAACGACCAGGTAAAGAAGTCCTTTCCGTCAAAAGGCTTTGTCGTTTGTAGTTTTAGAACATGCGCGAATTGCGACTGAACTTGTAATGCGTCCAGCGCTCTCTCTTGTCCCGGTGCAGGTTGTGGTTGCGGCATGAAGCTGACAGAGCCGCGCTGGGGCTCGTACGGAGCGAAGGTAGGTTGTTGATGTTGATTCCCGCGTGCGTAGGATGAGCCATCGAGACTCATGGGTGTCACGTTGTTGTTGTTGTTGCTGTTGTTTGATTGCGCAGGTACTCCTTGCTGGTGCTGCTCGTAGAAGGACATGAAGGAGAAGAATTTCTCCATCATGCTTGGATCGAAGCCCGCGCCTTGGTTTGCGGGTGTTTCCGTAGACCCAGCTGCTGGTCTCGTCGTTGTCCCTTCCTCTGTCTGTAGACCAGAGGCAGGAGGTGGAGTAGGGGTAGTACCGGGAGAGCCGTTGGAGGAGCTCCTCTCCTTTCTAGCAGACATGTCTTCTTGATGTATTGAGTGTTGAAAAAAAAATAGTAACTTTTAACTCTAACTGCTCTCATACCATGTTGGGCTGAAAAGCCCTAGGATCTTTGTAGAGTTAAAGTCTGAGTAAGTGATGTAATAGCGGAAGCGTTGAATAAAGTCCTTGAACCACCTTGCGCTAGTATGTGAGGGCAAAGTAAGTTGATTGAAGCAAAGAGATACAGGAATAAATATATGAGTACAAAGAATATGAAGAGACATTATGACTACTTTACTGTTGCGGTTCGATATAGTGCGACTCGGGCAACTGCTCAATGTCGAGTCAGTTGTGTGTCCTTGCTGTCGCGCTGCGTCAGGTCAAAGGTCGCTGACCTTTGACTTTCTCGTAACCTCCAGCGGTTACGTTAACTTCCGAGGGTTGACTCGCGATGCTTCGATTTGAGCTGCTTCGCTTGTGTCTTGAGTTCTGACACGACAGAGGCGCTTAAACTATTTGTTCCCAACACATGCCACACACCTTCACACATACCGTAAATTGTCTGGTTATCTATGCATGACATCAAATTATAGCTAATTTTGGCATGGGAATAAAACTACATCTGAAATTTTGAATAAAATCATAACCCCTTGATTGTTTAAGAATGATATATATTATGATACTAGCAGAGATTACACTGAATGCATACCACTCAGAAAAAAACATTATTGAATTAAATTTTTAATCCATGAACAATTTGAATTATATTCTTTTGTACTTGTTAACTTTACACAGTTATGCCCAGCACTTATCAGACTTTCACATGCTTAGTAGGAGATACTGGTCTGTATCGCGTACATTTTGTTAATTTGAATTTTGAAGTTCTGGTCCCATCCCGAAGGAACGTGCCGTGATTCGTTTGACTCGCGCTGCGGCTGAACCTCTCCACCACGATGCCCCCACGAAATTCGGCTCTTCGCAATCAAAGCAGGCCACCCAACCATACTCAGCATCAGTTGTCCCTAGTCAGTACCACACAAAACATAGTACCGACCCCAGCTTATTGCCATTGTCCTGATTTAGCATACTTACTTACCCCTGTCTTTGCCTTCGAGACGTTCTAACCCACCACTCAAGTCAAAGTCACGATGAAGCGAAAGCAACCATCGAAACTTTCGGGCAAAACCGGTTCCGCGGCACCTCTTAATGTGGACACGCGTCCACTAAAACAAATGGCCGGCAAAGGCCCTCTTAGGCGAATCACGGACCTCGACGAGCTCGGCCCCGGCGCGACGCGACTCACGGCCGAAGTAATTTACGGCGACGCGTTGCGGACGTTCGTGAGCGATGTGGAGCGGCTGGTGGGCACGGCCGGCGAGGGAGTAGCGGTGGCGCCACCGGCGGCGACGGCAGCGGCTGCGGCGGCGGGAGGAGGAGGAAGCGCAGCACGGGAGGCGTTCGCGCCGCTGTCCGGCGGGAGGCTGTCGTCCGACGTCACTCCGACAGACGCGCTCGCGCTGGTGGCTGTGGAGCTCGATGCGCGGGAGTCGCCCTTGTTCATGGTGGGTCGACGACTGGGCAGACATCATACTCGACGTTTATGATCATTCTCGGTGTGACGACTGGATCTGAAAAAAAACCGCCCGACGTGACATTGACACGCCGGACGTCCAATTCGATTGTAGAAGAGGGCGCTCTGGCAGTAGCCAGCTTCCACTTGCCTTTAGAAGACTCCTCCAGTACTTTCGAAGGCACAGCACCTGTAGGAGGCCCGCTTTCCCTGTTTTGCTCACTTCAATCCTCTCCTCCCGCTTCGTCATCCCCCACCCTCTCTCTCAGGAGCTTCACAATAAGCTGCGCCTCGCGCCACGTCCCCTAGTCAAGCAGCTGCGCCGGCTCTCCCCGAGCGCCGTGCGCCTCCTCGCCGCTCTTCTCCGCGTCCCCGCGTCCCTCCCCGCGCACCTTGCGACTCTCCTCCACGACTCCCCCAGCCCCGCGGAAGCCGCCGCCGCCGCATCATCTCCCACTCAGATTCTCACACGCGCTTCCGCCGCCTTGGACCATCCAGTAACCGCACGACCCACCGCGAGCCCGGTCCCACCAACAGCGGCAGCGGAAGACTCCGCGGAAGCCGCGCGGGAGCAGCGCGCGAGTCGTACGCGCGCGGGGAGCAGCAGCAGCAGCGGGTCGAGCGGCCGCGGCGCCGCGGCCATAGTGGCTTCTGACAAGGAACGGGACAAGGCGGAAAAGTTCTCGCTGATATCGCGTATCGTAGCGTCACCGGTATGGATCAACGCAGCAAGCAGCCGCCGCAACCGCCGCAACCAGGGCGCCAGCGGGAAGAGTCCCGCTTGCGGCACCATCCCCCCCGTCGCCCATGGTAACACCTCCAGCAACCTCAAGACTCCCAGTCACCGCAGCGTTACCAACGGCCCCGGAACGACGAGTCACGGGCTGGAGCTTGCGCACGCTGACTGCGCCGCCGTTGCCCATGCTAGTAACACCTCCAGTAATCTCAAGTCTCCCAGTAACCGCAGCGATACCAACAGCCCCGCCTCGAAGGGTCACGGGCTGGAGCTTGCGCTGGTTGACGGCGCCGCGACTGACGGTGACGGGGTGGAGGGGCAAGAGATTGACGGGACTGCGCGGCGGGAGCAGGACGGGGGAAGCGGGAACGAAGGAAAGATACGTTCGAAGCGCACGTGGAGGGAAGGAGAGGCTGCGGGAACGCAGGTGGCAGTTCCGCCCTGTGGTGGTGCTACTGGCGGTGCCGGCACGCGATGCACGCGCAAGCGGCAGAAGCGCGTGAAGCTCGCGATCGTGCCGCTGCTCTCACAATCGCCGGCGAAAGCGGCGAAGGCGGAGGAACTCGAGGAAAATGTCGCAATCGCGATGGAAGCGTGCGGTGGTGTGGTTGACGTGGGGTTGAGCGCACCAGCGGTAATCGAACAGGAGGTGATAGAACTTGAAACAGCAGACGACGCTTCTACTATCGAACCTGCTATTCTCACCGCGGCGGAAGGAAGCGCGGAGGGAAGCGCGGAAGGAAGAACGGAAGCAGCGTCGGCACAGGCGGTGGTGGCGGCAGCGGCGCATGAAACCGAGGGCCGCGCGAGTACCGGGGAAGCAGAGGCGCGCGGGAAAGCGTGGGAAGGCGCGCGAGAAGGCGCCCGGGGAACGTCGCTCAGTGCCCCTGCTGAAGACGCGCGGAAGGACGGAGATGAATTCGCGGCTGGGGGGACTTGCGCGGAGAGTGTGCGCGCAGAGGAGGCGGAGAAGGAGCGAGAGCAGGCGGAAGATGCGAGAGAAGGCGTTGCGGAGGCGGAGGGTAACGGGGAGTCTCCGCAGGCGTGCGCGGACGGGATGGCGGGAGATGAGGGGGCGATTGGCGCGCACGCGCACGAAAGTGACAGGCGCGATCTCGGAGGCATGGCGGAAAGGGAAGTAATGGAGGAGGGGGGAGAGATGGCGGAGGGGGTATTGGCGGCGGAGGGGGAAGTGGTGGCGGCGGGGGTTGGGGACGGTAACGAGGAGCGCGTGCAAGGGATAGCTGTGAGAGAGATGGCGGGTGAAGGGGAGGGGGACGCGGAGATAGGAGAGCGGAAACGAGGAATGACGGAAGGAGATTGCGCCCATGCAGGCGTTGGCGGAAGCACAGGCGGGGAAGGCGGAGGTTTTGGGGGAAACTGCAAGGGCAGGGGGGGAGCGCACGGGGCTATTGCCGCGGATGCGGAAAATGGAGAGGGCGCTGCGCAAGAGCAAGGGAGTGCAGATGGGGTTTGCGAGAATGAGGAGGAAGGGAGCAGAGGGGATGTGCGCCTGCAAGGGGGAGAAAAAGCAGAGGCCATGGACGATAAGGGGGTGTTGGATGCGGTGGAGAGGCGTACGGGGGAGCGGAGTGACAGAACAGGCGAGGAAACGGGGAGGGATAGAGCTGTAGAGGAAAGAGAGGGGGTGATGGGGGAAAGGGGAGGTGTGGGGGAGAGTGGGAGCGGGTGTGGACATGCGAGGAAGGCAGAGGACGATGAGTCAAGTGGGTGTGAGTCCAGTGGCGACGGAAGCGAAACCAAGGGTGAAGGAGTGAGTGGTAAGAGGAGGGACGGTGGTTGTGAAGGGGTGGGTGGTGAGAGGAGGGACAGTGGCTGTGAGGGAGTGAATGAGAGTGAGAGCGAGGGTGAGACAGCTTGTTCGGGGCTTGGTGGCGACAAGGGGAGTGAGGAGAAGGTGGTAGCTTTTAAGGGGCCGTCGAGTGCAAGGGCTTCTGAAGAAGGTGCTTCTGAGGAAGGGTTATGTGGGGAAGGTGCATCTGGCACTGCTGGTACTGATGAAGGTATTCCAGGTTCAGCCACGTTTGGCGATTCTGATTCGGACGAATCTTTCTTCAGTGCTCCTGAAACACCTGAAGTGTTGGAAGCACCTGAGGAGCTGAAAGCACGTGAAGTGCTGAAAGCACCTGACGTGCTGAAAGCACCTGAAGTGCCTGGAGCACCTGAATTGCTGAAAGCACCTGAAGTGGTGAGAGCACCTGAAGTGCTGGGAGCACCTGAATTGCTGAAAACACCTGACGTGCTGACAGTACATGAAGTGCTAGGAGCACCTGAATTGCTGAAAGCACCTGAAATGCTGACAGCACCTGAAGTGCTGGGAGCACCTGAATTGCTGAAAGCACCTGAAATGCCGACAGCACCTGAAGCGCTGGAAGCACATGAAGTGCAGAAGGCACCACAGACAGCCTGCCTGACCAAAACTCCTGAACCAGCAGAACCAACTGAAGTGCCTGGAGCACCTGATTATGGCAATGTGGGGGAAGTAAAAACTATGGAAGCAGAGGTGGGGGGAGCAAAGGTGGTGGAAGAAATGGTGCGGGTATCAGTAGCAGGGGAAGCCGAGGCGGGCGAAGAAGAGGTGGGGAAAGCAGAAATGAGGGAAGCCGAGGCGGGGGAAGCAAAGGTAGGGGAAGCAGAGACGGCGGAAGAAGAGGAGGGGGAATCAGAGAGCGTAGAAGCAAAGGCGGGGGAAGTGGAGATGGGGGAAGTAGAGGCAGCGGAAGTAGAGGACGGGAAAGCAGAGGCAGGGGGAGCAAAGGCTAGGGAAGTAGAGATGGGGGGAGTAAAGGCGGCGGAAGAAGAAGAGGGGGAAGCAGAGGCGGGCGAAGGAAAGGCAGAGGTGGGGGAAGTAGAGGCGACGGAAGAAGAAGAGGGGGAAGCAGAGGGGGGAGACGCAAAGGCAGGGGAAATAGAGATGGGGGAAGTAGAGGCGGCTGAAGAAAAGGCGAAGGAAACAGAGGTGGGGGGGTTAATAGCGGAGAAAGCAGAGGCGGAGGAAGCAAAAACGGGGGTAGCAAAGGGGAGGGATACAGAGCCAGGGAAAGCAGTGGAGGGGGAATTGGAGGCGGAAGAAGCAGAGGCGGGGGAAATAGAGGAGGGGGAAGTGGAGGTGGGGGAAGCAGAGGCGGGGGAAATAGAGGAGGGGAAAGAAGAGGAGGGGGAAGTGGAAGTGGGGGAAGCAGAGGCGGGGGAAATAGAGGAGGGGGAAGAAGAGGAGGGGGAAGTGGAGGTGGGGGAAGTAGATGTGGGGGAAGCAGTGGCGGCGGAGGAATATAAATGGGAATTAGAGGTGGGCAAAACAGAGGCGGGAAAAGCAGAAACGGGGGAAGCAGTGGAAGGGGAAACAGAGGAGGGGGGAGCAAAGGTGGGGGAAACAAAATTGGGGGAAGAAGAGGCGGAGGAAACAGAGGAGGGGGAAGTAAAGTTTGGGGAAGCAGAGGCGGAGGAAGCAGAAAAGAGGGAAGCAGAGGCGGAGGAAGCAGAAAAGAGGGAAGCAGAGGCGGAGGAAGCAGAAAAGAGGGAAGCAGAGGTGGTGGAAACAGTTGTCGAGGAGGGGGAAGCGGAGGCGGGGGAAGCAGAGGCGGAAGAAATAGAGGAGGGGGAAGTAGAGGAGGAGGAAGCAGGGGCGGAGGAAGCAGAAACGGGTGAAGCAGAGGAGGGGGGAGCAGAGGAGGGGGAAGCAGAGGAGGGGGAAGTAGAGGTGGGGGAAGCAGAGGAGGGGGAAGCAGAGGAGGGGGAAGCAGAGGAGGGGGAAGCAGAGGAGGGAGAAGCAGAGGAGGGGGAAGCAGAGGAGGGGGAAGCAGAGGAGGAGGAAGCAGAGGAGGGGGAAGCAGAGGTGGGGGAAGCAGAGGAGGGAGAAGTAGAGGTAGGGGAAGCAGAGGCAGAGGAAATTGAAGAGTGGGAAGCAGAGGAAGGAGAATCAGAAGTGGGGGAAGCAGGGGCGGAATGGGTGGAGGTAGCAGTGCAGCAGATGAATGTCACACATGCTGCATGGCTCAAGGGCGCATGGCTCAGAAGTATTCCCTATGGCCTGAATGTGCATGGTAGTGGTGTATGTGGTGGCGGTAGCTGCTGCATGTTCCACAGTGCTCCCGAACCTGCTGCTGCACCCAAACCTGTTACCTCTCATGAGGTTACTGCCACTCCCGAACCTGCTGCTGCTCCCGAACCTGTTGCCATTCTTATTCCCACCCCCAAAGCTGCTGCCGCACCAAAACCTGTTACCACTCACGAGCTTATTGCCACCCCTGAACCTGCTGCTGCTCCCGAACCCTATTATACTATTCCTGAGGCTGATACTTTTCCTCAAGATGTTGCTCCTCCTGAAGCTGCTGCTCCTGTTCCCAAAGCTGACACAATCCCTGATGCTTGTGCATTGCCCCGAGCTCTTACAAGTCAGGAAGCTGCTAGTTCTCCTGAAGCTGATACTAGTTTCAAACAAGTTGCTGTTCCTGAAGCTGCTAATATTTCGGAAGCTGCAACTGTCTCAGAAGCTGCAATTACTCCAGAAGATGCTACAGGCGCTGATGCTGATGCTGTTGCTGCTGCTTCTGCTTGTGATGCAACGGGGACTGGTTCTACCTATGCCACAGATGCTGCTGCATCCCCTGCAGCAGACACTACAGCAGTTGTTCCAGTAGATGCTCATGCTGATGTTTATGCCAACGCTGATGCTGATGCTGATTCTGATGCTGCTACCGCTAGTGCTGCTGCTGCTGTTCCTGGTGGTAATCGTAGTGCTGGTGGTGGTGCTGATGCTGCCGATGGTGCTGCTGATGGTGCTGCTGATGGTGCTGCTGATGGTACTGCTGATGCCATGGAGATAGATGCAGAGGAGGGCTGTGAAGAAATGGATGAGCACAAACAGGTGGACGAAGGTGCTCGACATGGGGAACAAGCAAGCAACGATGAAGCTATTGCCGCTGGTGGTGCTGCTGTTGCTGATGCTGCTGATGCTGCCGCAGATGCTGCTGATGGTGCTGATGGTGCTGCTGATGGTTCTGCTGATGCTGCTTCTGGTGGTGCTGATGCTGCTGATGTTACTGCTGATGGTGCTGCTGCCATGGATGATGCTACATCAAAAGGTGATGAAGAGCATACAGCCAGCAGATGTCAAGCACATAGCGGGGGGCAGGCGCGTCCAAACGGACAGCCTTCACACGGAGATTTTGGACTCAGGGTGTGTTCGCATGCGGAGCGTGCAGACGTTGATCAGCAAAGGAATGTCAACTCTGATTCAGCGCGTGCAGCTGTCAGGGGACTGCTACAGAACCACCTGACAGTAGTGCTGGAACCTGCCCTGGGCCTAGCCGACGCTGATGCAGGCACACAGGATGGACTTACGGGAGATAAGCCGTGTGTTATCGGTGCGCAGGGGTTGGTTGGGAGTGTGGCTCAACGGGAGGCAAGTGGGGTGGGGTTCATGGAGTGGTGGGGGGAAATGGAGGAGGAGGAGCAGCAGGTGGAGGCTTACAAGATGGCCATGGAGGCTGTGTGGTCAAACAAAGGACGGTCGATGCTCGTTAGGGGGTAGTGTCTGAACTATACTGATTGAATGAAATTTGATTGTAATCTTTTTTTTTTTTCCTAGCCTTGTTGCGTCATCCTCGCTCGCGCAATTGCACAACAATCATCAACATTCTTCATGTAAACTTTGCAAGTACGGTATGAATATGTGGTAGAAAACTAGCCACATGCAACGTGTCGCTTTGTTGTGGAGTGACTGAGGACAGGGCTTTTGCTCGGAGTTCTAAAAGAACAATGTGTGTGGTGGGGAGAAATGAATATCGAAGGTGCTTGCTACTCAAATGACACTACAAGTGAAGGACTACGCGAAGTGACGATATTAATGCGGGACCCTACGTAGACGGGCCACGGGGACCTGAAAAGTACACGACGGGATCGGGTTGGTTGGCTTGGCACGCTAAGTCTACTGTAAAGGTGGGGCGGGTTAGCATCAGGATCGAAGGAATCATGTAAAGCTTGTCGCTTCAATTATCGGGGATGTCGTCCTGCTCCTCCCAGGGCCGACGTTTCATTTTAGGCCTCCCTGATTCCGGGGAAAATTTTCCCCCTCTATTATGGGTGCACATTTTCCAGAAAAACAGCACCCTGATTGCTCAGGGTTGTAAAGTAGTTGACACTGATTGTTGAGGGCTGAGAATTGAACATCAGAGTAGTAACGCGCTCTTTTTTACCGGGGGAAAAAGTCCCAATCTCTATAAAGTCTGCGCGCTGTGTTTCGCGCTGGCTGTTCTGTTCTTTGTGCAGGATAGGTGCGATTGACCTATCTGGTGTGTGAGAGTAACGTTTCGCTGTCTTATTAACATGCCCAATCGGATCTCTTCATCTGGCATGTAGTGCTTGAATGCTGTGTTGGAGAATCGAGTCTCTGCCGCCCCAGCCCTTTGCACACAAGGAGCAGCAAGAATGTCGGCGACGGATTGAAGGCTTCGCGAAAATTCAGAAACTTCCGCAACAAAATCAGATTGCAGCCGAAGACTCGATACAGTTCGGGATTGCTCTCAAACAGAAGGGTCGACAGTTTCTACAGGTTTCTACAAAACAGAATCAGCTATAACAGTACATTCCAGAGATTTCTTATTCATGCACCTCATGTGGCTCTCAAGTCACTCAAGGTTCATGGAATCTGAATTGTGCCCAAGTTCCCAAGGAAGTTGCCTTGTCTAGCAGCCTAGTTTGAGCTATCAATCTGCATGTTTGTAATGCTTAAGAAGTTGTGCTTTAGTGGGCTTGTTAATCTTGATCATAGTGAAGTTTTCTCTCATCAAGCCAAGTCCAGCAGCTCTGTTGAGCTTTTCCAGCCAAGTTTCCAGCCTACCAGTCATCAAAGCTACTCTGTTTTGCAAGTTGGTATCAGAGCCCGTCGTTTCGATCAAACAAGCGCCACCACCTTCCTATCCTAGCACAATCCATCCATGGCGGGAGACAACCCATCTGGCCCTGCACTCCAGCCAGCCGGAGGAGCTTCAGAGTCAACATCAGGAGCTACTGGATTAGTAGAAGCAGTTGCACCAGGCAGTTCTTCAACTACATACTCACCACTCACCTCCTTCATGCCTAAGCTTCACCTCCCCAAGTTCAACGGCAAAGATTTTCCAACATGGGCAACTCAGTTTGAGCTCACTGCATCCCTTCTGGATCTCTGGCCTTACTACACTGGAGAAGCAGCCAAACCAGCAGCAGATGCTTCAGAAGCTGAAAAACGACTCTACGAACGGCGCAACAAGGAGGCCTTCCTGTACCTACTCAATAGCATTCAGAAGCAGCAGTTGAAGTCGCTCCTACCCTGCTCTACAAAGGAAAACAGCGCAGAGGAAGCATGGAGCCGACTGAAGTCTATGCACCAGTCAAAATCCTAGAGCAGCCAGGCCGAGATGTGGAGCCGCTTCATGAGTCTCAAGATGGAAGAAGAAGAACCAGCCCAAACCTACCTTCAACGAGCTGAAACGATGCTAGAGGAAGCAGCCGCGATCGGCTTGGAGATTCCAGAGTCTCTTTTCAAGACCGTCATCCTCACCGGCCTTACACCGGAGTGGGACACTTTCCGTGCAACACTACAAGCACTTCCGCAATCAATGAAGACCCGTGCGTTCATCTTCGAAGCCCTTGTCAACGAGCAGCAAAGTCGAGACCTTGCACGAAACAAGCGGAGTGACGAGGGTGCGTGGAGTGCTGCAGCAACTACAAGATATGGCAACCAATCCCAGAGGCAAGGAAATTTCAGCCCAAACCGCCCTCAACCTTACTATGGTACGAATTTTCAGTCACCTTCCAACCCATACAAACCCTCTCGTTTTGCTCAGTCAAGTCCTCCCTATAAGTCAAGTCCCTATGTCCAGCCAAGGCCTTTTATTCCCAATCAATATCAGCCTAGGAATGCACGAGTCTATACGCCAAGAGTCAATAATTTCAGCCAAGCCTCAAATGCTAAAAAGTTTAATTTCGAGTGTTTTTGTTGTCATGAGTGGGGTCATCCGTGGTATGCTTGTCCTAAGAAGCCTCCTAATTGGGTTCCCCCACCTCAGCTACTATCCGAAAAGGGTAAGGCAGCCATAGCAAACATGGCAAGTCATTCTACAAGTCAAAATGAGTCCAAAGATTCTGAAGGTCCTGTCCTTTTCAACGCCGCCACTTGCATGCACGTTTTTTCTACTAGTAGTGAGGAGTTTATCCTTGATAGTGGCTGTTCTGAAACCATGACTCCCTATCAGTCCATTCTCAAGAATTTTCAGCCCTCATATGACTCAAAAGCTGTGACACTTGCTGATCTTGGCAAAGTACCTATCAAAGGAGTCGGCAAGCTTGAGTTCGAAAAGGATGGTAAGTCATTTTGTGTCAATAAAGCTTTGTTTGTTCCTGATTTGGGAGCAAACTTGCTCTCAGCTGGACAACTTGAAGAGAAAGGTGCCTCTGTACTATTGCAAGGGGGGAAAGCCAAAGTGTGGGACAGTGCAGGAAATTTGGTGGCTGAAGGCGAGCGTACCGGGCGGCTCTACAAGATGAAGTTGGAGATCAAGCGCGGTTCTAACAATACGAAGAACGACGTTGTCTCGCTTCCCGCTGTTTCAACCAACAAAGGGAGTATCTCCCAAGCTGAGGTATGGCATGCACGCTTGGGGCACTTGGGAATGCAAGCATTGAAAGAGTTGGTGAATCACAAGAGCGTGGAAGGATTGAGTTTGAGTGAAATTGCAGTCAAGTCCCTTTCTTCCGTTCCATGTCCATCTTGTGTTGAGGGTAAGCTAGCTAGAAAGCCATTTTTCCCTTCTAAGTCTCAGTCAAGGGACCTCCTAGAGTTGGTCCACACTGATGTATTTGGCCCCATGCGAGACCCTACTCGAAACGGTAAGAGATATTTGGTGTCTTTCATTGATGACAAGAGTCGTTTCTCGTGGTCATTTTTCATCAACACCAAGGATGAAGTTCACAAGTGTTTCAAGCAATGGCTAGCACTTGTTGAGAGAGAGTCAGGGAAGAAGTTACTCACCTTGAGGTCGGACCGAGGAGGTGAGTACATGGGAAAAGCATTTCAGGGGGAGTTGTTGGCATTGGGCATCAAACAACAGTTCACTTGTCCCTATAGTCCTCAGCAAAATGGAGTTGCAGAGAGGTTTCATCGCACTATTCAAGCAATAGCTACCACGTTTCTTCAGTTTAAGGGCCTTGACAAGCTCTGGTGGGGTGAGGCAATCACTATGGCAATCTATGTTCGCAACAGGAGACCCACAAGGCCCCTACCGGATGGTGTAACGCCATATGAGGCTTGGTTTGAAGTTAAACCAGATCCGTCTATGCTTCGTGTTTTTGGTTCCATGACCCAATACCGTGTTCCAGATGCAAAGAGAGTCAAGCTGGACAGCAGAGCTCATTGGGGCCTCTTCATCGGCATGAGCAACGAGAGCAAGGGATGGGTCCTTTGGGATCCCGTCACCAAGCGAGAAGTGGTTTCAAGGGATGTGGTCTTCTATGAAGACATGTCCCTTGCAGATTGGCACAAGTTTTCCTCTTCCTCCTCTCTACCACCCTCTCTCCAACAGGAACCAGCAAGAGCACCTGAGGAAACAACACAAGAGGAGGACGGAGATGACACCAATTCTGACCATAGCGGACCCATCATCGATCTCCCGCAAGCCATCGTCAACGAGACCAGCTGCGCCACACCAGTGCCACCAGCAGCTACTCAACCAAGTGGAGATGTGGTTCAGCTGTCAAATGAAGACAATCCACCCCAAGAAGTCACCGTTACATCACCGCCAAAGGAGCAGCAGCCAACCGTCACCAACCAGCCAGCTACTTCAACACCAACCCCGCAAGTTCAACGTCACCCGGATCAGCCCACCACTACACCATCAAACCCATCACCAGCCGTCAATTCAGAGGCAACTACAGAAGCTCACCATCATCCAATGCAGCAGCAACCTACAGCTACAAGACTCCAAGTACCTACATCAGCACCATCTACAATTCTTCCTACCAACAAGACAACCATTACCGCAACATCTCGTTCTCACACACGTTCATCACTTCAGGTTCCAACATCAAGCCAGCTCATAGCACGAGGATCACTTCAGCGAATCACCACCAACACCAGCTCCAACAGCCCACTTCTTCACCCAAGACCTTTCTCAACTTCACCCCCACGTCCCGGAATCGGCCGTCATGAGTTACCGCCATCTTCAACACCGAGAAACAGCGCCAATCAGACCGAACCGTCTCCAACTTTCGACAACGCAGCGTCATCATCAATTCCCAAGCTTCTAGTCTCAAGATCCCCACCAAGAGAATCTTCACAGCCAGCTATGCCGACGAACATTTCAGCTTCACCGACACAAGTCACCACACCTATTCCTCAAGTCAACACCGATAATCGAGAGAGTTCCACGCCGGGAGAAGATCATGCAGTCGTGCCGCCGTCGCAGCCGATGTCGCAGCCATTGTCTCAGCCGCAGATGACCGTGTCAACGCATCCAACCACTGTGAGACCGAACCCTACCATTGATTTGTCTCAGC